ATTCTAGTAGCTACTGACTTGTGACGCTTGTTGGAGCGCCCGACGAAGTGGAAGCGAGAAGGACTCGCCTGACGATGCATAGGTTTCGCCCGACGAGGTAAGATATTTTCTGAGGCTTGCGTGTACTATTGTTGGCACGTGGGCTTGTTTTGTTGGTGTCGCCCTACGAAGCAGGTGTGCTGCTCGGCGAGGCAAGGCAGATATGACATGTTTATAAGCCACATTTTAGATATTTTAGGCACATTATCACATTTTACTTCATATTTGTAACCTAGAAAACTCTTGTATGGAGAAAAAAAGCTTTTTTTTACTCAAAATCAAAGCTTTCCAACAATAATCTTTGAGATATCAAGTTTGATGTTTATAAAGCTTTGTTGTTTACTTGTTGATCAAGCTACCATGACAATGGGTAGCTAAATCCCTCTTTTGTGTCAAGGTTAGTGGTAGATAATCTCATCTTTGTATGTATTTAGCTTGATATTTTGTATGTGAACAACTTGATGATAAATATATGGTGAAATACACTTGTTTTATGGTTTATATTTGAGTTGATTAATATTGAGAAGTATTTTCATCTCTTGATCTAGGTTTTCACTAATCAACAAACAATTTCTAGACATGGTTTTGTGAGTTGATATTCACTAATATTGAGCTTTCAAAATTATCAAATTAATAGTTAGGTAGAGACATCATCTAAGGATCAATTTGATAAAACTCACAATTTGTTTTAGAGATGAAACATATTGAGAGGATGTGATTATATTTATTGTTAATGAGTTCACATGCTCTATTAAGAAAATACATATAAAATAGATTATCGAACCTTAATCTTGACACTCTTTTACCAATCTTTTAAAACCAAAACTCTCTTTTCCCGATACTTGATACTTTGCATGACATCGAAACTTTTCGTTACTAAAACCAAAATCAAACCCTTTTATGAAACTTAAGCTTAAAACAATTATAACTGTAGAACAACGGTGATATCACACCAATCTCTGTGTCAAGGTTAGTGGTAGATAATCTCATCTTTGTATGTATTTAGCTTGATATTTTGTATGTGAACAACTTGATGATAAATATATGGTGAAATACACTTGTTTTATGGTTTATATTTGAGTTGATCAATATTGAGAAGTGCGTTTATCTCTTGACCTAGGTTTTCACTTATCAACAAACAATTTTTAGACATGGTTTTGTGAGTTGATATTCACTAATATTGAGCTTTTAAAGTTATCAAATTGATAGTTAGATAGAGAGATCATCTAAGAATCAATTTGATAAAAATCACATTTTGTTTTAGAGATGAAACATATTGAGAGGATGTGATTATATTTATTGTTAATGAGTTCACATGCTCTATTAAGAAAATACATATAAAATAGATTATCGAACCTTAATCTTGATACGCTTTTGCCAATCTTTTAAAACCAAAACTCTTTTTTCCTGATACTTGATACTTTGTATGACATCGAAACTTTTTGTTACTAAAACTAAAATCAAACCCTTTTATGAAATTTAAGCTTAAAACAATTCTAACTGTAGAGCAACGGTGATATCACACCAATTTCTATGGGAAACGATAATTTAAATACTTTCCTTGTAAAGTATTTTCAATAGTTTGAAACATTTTTTTTGAAACTATTATACTTTTGTTTATTTTGAGATGATGAGTTACCTTTCATGGTATTTAGTTGTTTGATTTATGAATCATAAATGATGAAGTGTGAGGAAGACTCTATGAAATATTTTTAATAAAGATATTTTGAGACTATGATATTGCTGCAATAATCTGAATTTTTGATATATGATTATATTAAACAATTAGTTGTTTTAAATGTTTTAAAAACACGTGTTACGGAGCAGGATGTTTATATAATGCTTTTATGAAGATGTGACACTCTTGTTGGTGATTTTGTGAGGAAGACTCTATGAAATAATTTTAATAAAGATGTTTTGAGACTATGATATTGCTACAATAATCTGAATTTTTGATATATGATGATATTAAACAATTAGTTGTTTTAAATGTTTTAAAAACATGTGTTACGGAGCAGGATATTTATATGATGCTTTTATGAAGATGTGACACCCTTGTTGGTGATTTTGTTGGATTTAAGTTCGTAAAGTATATGTGAATTATATGTGGATTTAGAAGGGTGTTACATGGAACACCCTCATTAAGCCCTGGCTGCCAGGTGAAGTTGGAGGGGCAAATTTCATGTGTTTCAGGACGATCTCCTTAAAGTTAGAAAAGGGCCACCACAATCCTATCTTGGTGAATTGATACTCATAAAATGAGACCAAGCACTCGTCAAAAGAGTTATATATTCTTTTTTTCTGAACCCACGAGAAGGACGAACCAATCTAGAGGGTCGCTGACCATGATGTCACTAGAATCTATAGTTGATTTGGTATTCAAAACAAACAAAGTCTCCACTACTTTCACAACCACCCATCCGTACTTGCTCGCGTCGGTCAGTTCCACAAACGTCACACGCCTTCGGGACAACTCGCCAACTTTAAAATGATCGTTATCTTGGCCCAAGAAACTAAACCAGGTTTACCCCGATACTCCATGTGGGTCTTAATTTCAGTATCACTAGATTTACAATTGCAGGTTCTCCTGTAAACCTGGACGAAATTCCTAGTGCATTTCTTCATCAACTTAACATTTCATATTTCTGCATCAGAAAAAACAGGAGGGGCCATAGGAACACTATTGTGACCCCCTCAACATTATCATCTGATGAGAGAGCGACAAAAGATTCCAGGAAAGAAGCCTTCTTATCAAGGGAGCTCTCAAATACCTTTTTGAATCAGAATCATCGATAAAGGACACAACTTTGTGGCCCATACGATTATGAGCAAGGGGGGAGGAATGTGAATCGTGATATACCTACATTCTCGCATCAGAAAAAACATCACTCTTAGAATCACTAACTATGTGAATAAGGCTATCACTCATCTTGACCAAAGAACGGAAAATAATGAAGGTAAAAGCTTAAGTTAAGAAGGGTACCTGGTCATGTGAGGTGGTTGAAGCAAAGTAATGGAGAAATGAAAAAGCTTTGAGCAAAAAGCTATCATTTCTTTAATAAGTACTTTCATGAATGAATAGTAGAAGACACTTGCTAATAAAAAGCGCTTGTGAATGAAAACTGACTCTCAAGATTGCGAAAAGTTTCCTTCACACTCAAAGACCCATATATATAGGCGAAGGTGATCAAATGATTCCAATCAGTTGTAAAAAGAAGTTACAAGATCAACGACTAAATTTTCCTTGAAAATGTAAACAAACTCGACTACACTCGAGTGCACTATAGGCAACGCCATGCCCCAATTAGTCGCTTCAGTCCATGTGTTAGAAAGAAGCTGTGAAACGTTTAAATTACAGAAATGCGTTTAATGCGCTTGTTCTCCTATATTTTTTTAACTAACTTCAGGCGTTTCACTTATATTTTTTCAACTGTCACAACCACTAAAGACTTCCCCAACTCCCTAAACGCTCGACAAGCCTTGAGACAACTACTCTGGACTAACCAAATGCCCAAATCGCTAAGGCTCAAATTTACTCCACATAATCCAAAGTATAAATCATTTCACATGAAATACAAGATACTTTATGATCTCTATTTTTCACTATACTCATCTTAAATCTTGAACTGACTTAGACGTTGGAGTGTTAACTTTATAAGTCCACCCCGTGTCAGTGTATTAAAGATCAACACTACCAATTTAAAATTTCACACCAATCAATTACATTCAATTCTAATTCCAAAAGAGAACCAACCATTTACATCCAATTCTAATTTTAATTCCATATATCAATGATATATGTTGTATCACTATTAATTTTTTGGCAAAATACCCTTTTTAGTCCTTTAAGTTTACCCCAAGGTCCATTTTGGTCCTTTATCTAAAAAAAGTGTCAAACTGGTCCTATAATTCTTTCAAAAGGACCATAGGAGTCATTTCCGTCCATTTTGGTCCTTTTTGGTTCAGCCCATCCTTCTTTATTTCAATTTGTAACTCCATTATCTTATGTATCAGCCCATCCTCCCTTTCCTTTAGATGATGTATCTCCATCTTTGCTCCATCAAGCTCATTTTGCAGCTTCTCCAATGAACCAAAAAGGACCAAAATGGACGGAAAGGACTCCTATGGTCCTTTTGAAAGAATTATAAGACCAGTTTGACACTTTTTTTAGATAAAGGACCAAAATGGACCTTGGGGTAAACTTAAAGGACTAAAAAGGGTATTTTACCTAATTTTTTTGTACATTATATAATTACATTTTGTTTGTTCGCACATCTCTCTAGATCTTACAATGTGTATATGATTTTATTGAAGTTATTATTACCGTTTCATTTAAAGATTAAAACATATTTTTGTTTTGTTGTTTGTCTACATCATCAATCAACCGTTTAAACATTAGCGAGATGCAAGCACCAAATACTTGAGTTTATTTCAGGAAGAAAATAAACTCAAGTACTGAGGAATTCAACTCCCAAATTTACCTTTCATATTTTTGGTACACTCAAATTTACCTGTTTTATTGATCAGAAATATCATCCATTAATACACAAACACAAGTACTTTCTTTATTTCAAGTATACACAAACACAAGTACTTTCTTTATTTCAAGTATACACAAATACATTTAACATGGAAAAAAATGATGAACTTCGTATTGCAAATTAGGATCAAAATAATACAAGCTAACATCCTTACAATGTAATCTTACTCCTTCTGGCTATAAAGAACAAAGTAATCGTAAAACTATACCAATTAATTCCCTTAAAAAAATCATAATCTAGTTGGCTTCTATAGGAGGAATAATGAACTAAAGTGAGGATACATCTGTGCAGTGTCCCCAAAACCTCTTAAACTCACCAACATCATATACTTCCAGTATTTTGTCAATCAATCTACAAATACCAATTGTATTAAGGCCTTGTACCAGACTAGGGACCATGCATTTTAATCAACTGTGATTCTTATAATATGGCCTCTGGGATCCCAAGCTTGCCACTGAGATATAATTGTGTAGGAATGTCGCATTTGTGGATATTCGAGACTGTTTCTGGCTTTGACATTGTTAATGATCCTGTCAATGCTAGCAAAGGCTCCAACAATAGAGTTTGGTTATCACTTTCTCTTTCATTCTCCTTCCTTATTTCTTCTACTAAGGCCTTCCCTGTGTCAATACCTGTTTAAGCATTCAAAGAGGTAAATAAAATAAATTCATACTCATATGTGAGGACTTAGGGGTCATTGATTGTTACTACCTACGTCACTTAATATAAGATTGTGTATTAACCATTAAGAACACAAACTTGAGATAACACCTCACCTGCGAGATATCCGCCATGAACATAGCCATTAAATCTTTCACTGGTGTGCTCTCCGGTGAAAAAAATGCGACCGACAGGAGCCTGAAACGTGTAAAAAAATGACAAATAATTGCATATATATTTTCTTTAAGTAAAGTTTTATACATGAACAGAAAAGGGAACAAATTAAAAGGCCCAACAAAAAACAAAAAAACAGCATAGGATCTTAAGACCACAAAGAAAATAACCATCTATTATATTTGAAATTCCAATTATCAAATTTACAAGGAAGCTTCTACATTATGAAATATTGATTTTGTTGGATTCTCTGATTTCCTATTCATCAATAAGCAGGGGCAAAATAAAATGATTGTAACATCAAATAATTTGATTCATAATTGAATGGGAATTTAATAATAGTAGTATATGTGATGCGAAATAAAGGACATTTAGGTACAGAAGATTGTACTGTACTCTGACCACACAACATTTTTTATTTAGAGGAAGATTGTTCAGTAATGAAACCAAACAAAACCAAATTATATTAAATTCAGAGCCTAAATTTTGAATGAATTATATAGTAGCAAGCTGTAAGAGATCCAGGTCATCTTCAATTTTGTCTTTGCATGCACTATATAAAGACAAGAATGTAGTATAGCTATAGCATCAATTGATATAGTATTTAAGAACATAATGTATTCAAAAGGGAATTGTCAAACAATAATAAAAAAATATGAAAATTCAGCATGATAAGCAAGCAAACCTTAATATTATGAAAAACTTTACGATTGGCGATAATAGGGTAGTTGCTATAGCTGCCACGCTGAAACCTGTTATTAAACCAGCGGGGAACGAGTATATCAATGGCGTCCGGGATGTCGGGTCCGAACATATCCCTGAGCACCGCCATAGCTTCTCGCAAGGTGGCATTGTTAGATTGAGCTTCCACGCGTTTTGATTCTCCATTTGTCAAAGTCACGACTAAGAGATTGGAGCCAGGATATGCGTTATCCATGTGCTGGTAACAAACAAATCAGCAGATAAGTGATTTGGATGAGTAAGCAAAGAGATCCTGGATAATTATTCTGATTCTATGCTTGGTGAATAAGCAAAAGGACTAGACAATACAATCACCAATGTTATTATTTGATTCTGAATTCAATTATTTTCATATACACCACATAAGTTTAGATCCAAAGTCAATGCATTATTGCATCGGGTTTGAGTATTGACAAGAATGGAAATGAGCAAATTTCTACAATGTCATATAACCCAATTTTCTCCCGTTTATAATAATATTAGTTTGAAATATGTTAGGTTACATAATCTTCCATATGAATAAGAAAACAATCAAGAAGCAGCTCATATTACCAAACTTACACAGATAACTCCAAGGGAATACCAATATTACAACAGTTCAGAAAGATAAGAATCAATTAATATTTGTTAACAGTAGTAAAAAGAAAAAATATTATATCTTTGTTATTCTTCCTAGGAAATACTTAATATTATCAACATAAGACAAATGGTAATAGGTGTAGCTGATCAGGATTTTTTATCATGTATGCATTAAAAGGTCAAAATTACAACTCCAAAATATAAATAAATATCTAGGCCAGCTTGCATAAATCAGGGAAGGGGAATACAGCTAAAGCTATTCCTCTATATGTATAAAAAAAATGTTTTTTTATCAATTTTAGTCATAGGCTATGGAATTGCACCAGACAAGAACAAAATATACAAATGGTATCCAAAGCTAATTGTGAAAAATTCATCTGAAGTTGAACCAATAATTAACTCAGATTTGGAAAAATGTAGTAAGATTGACGAGTACACAAGAAATTTTGTTAATCTTATATGAAAAGTACTTAATGTTTGACCCGAGCGTTTAGCCCCAATAAGAGGATACAAACAAAAGCCACAATTATGAATCTAATTATTATAGGCTTGACAACATTATTTAAGCTACTTCATTAAAAATCAAGACATACCACAAATTCTATTGCCAGCAGAAGATTAAGATGAAGCATGTGACTCACATGCACAGCACATAAACAATGAAAAGGAAGTAGTATTTAAATCTTCAGCATCGAGACAATCGCTTTTATTATTTTTTTACAATTAGCAAGCAAGACAATCATTGCTTTTAGTTTATACACTCTTTAAGTCATCTAAAAGCAAGTTGCAAATTTCAGCTTGATCCGTAAAAGGTTAGGTAAGCGGCAAGTACCTTGATGAAAAATAGAATTGACAGCATATCAATTTTTCCATTATTTTTTAGCCAAATTTGGGGTATGTTTGGATTAGCATATTTGAAAACTATAAATGTTCCAAAAATTGAATTTAAGTTGAGATGTTTTATGGTCATTTATCATGCTATTCTTTCAAAATTTTAAAACTTATATATATATATATATATATATATATATATATATATATATATATATATATATATATATATATATATATATATATATATATATATATATATATATATATATATATATATATATATATATATATATATATATATATATATATATATATATATATATATATATATATATATATATATATATATATATATATATATATATATATATATATATATATATATATATATATATATAACCCTCCAAAATCTTTCATCGAAACACACTCTTAGAGATTTTAATTGCCTTTTTAATTCAACTCATTTCCCATAGAACGTAACCTAAAGTCATGTTTTTTAGTTTTATTAAATAGGCAAACACAACCTAAAAAATGAACTAACAATCATTAAGGAAGAGATTCAACAAACCTGCCAAAATGTGTAATAGCCTCTCCGCTCGTGAGCATAGATGAAGAATTCCTTTTCGGGTCCACTTTGCCAAAACCTATAGGGAAACTTCAGGAAGATTTTGGTGTACACCATTACATCACATTTCTCGATGGCATCCAATTTCCACCTCTGTTTCATTATTTTATTCATCATGGAAGTATTGAATCAGACAAGTATATACTTGCTCAAGAAGACAATATAATAATGACATCATTGAAAGGATGATTACATGACTAAAACAAAAATGAGTTTCATAGAAAAGACAAATAACCTCAATGATATATCATATCCTATAATTGTTTAATTTAATGACCTCACATAATTCTATACATTTGATCAAATACATTACGTGTTCGAATGAATATGTTCTGAAACTTCAAATTAACAATTATTTAAGTCTTTCGGACCTTAACTAATCAAAATGTCAATGTAATTAAGTAAGCTAGTATGTCGCTCTCCTACAATTTTCTCTTTTCGTAGGACAAACAATTAAGTGGTTAAGACCTAATAGAAAAGGTAGAACAAGGTTTTAAAAAACGGTTTGTTACCGTGAAAATAACTACGACAAAACAGTATCGAAAGGTGCCGATATCTATATCGTTATGCACTGTTGTAATAAAGAACAAATTATAGTCAATTCACACCACGACGACCGCAATCAGCATCGCAACACCTGTACCTACCGAAATCACAAAAGAATTTACGCCACACAGTATTTCCTTAAGTTCTAATTAACTCTCGTGGCAGAGCATGTGTCCTACTCCACACTTCTGAAAATAATGAAGTATGCATTAGTTTCACTACAAATGAAATTTCACAGTTTCACATAGTTGCACTTGTTCATTCAAAATTAGTTAAAGTTTCACTTATTTTTTTATTAAATTAAAGTTAGAAGAAAGCAATCATGTCAACAATTATAAAGGAGTACTACTTAGGGTCTTTTGATAACACTAAAAAAAAGCTTTTAGCTTTTAGCTTTTCAGCTCACATTAATAAAAAGTTTTGTTTGGTAACTGTCATTTAGCTTTTAGCCTTTAGCCTGTAGCTTTTTGACTAGATTTTAGCTTTTTTCTCAAAAGCTATTTGATGTAGCTTTTGAGCTTTTAGCTTGTGACTTTTTCTTCCATTTATACCCTTATTATTTTAACAAAAATATATTGAGACTATCAATTTCTTAATTAAAAATGTATTTTTATGTCATTTTGTATTTATCAACTAATATAACAGTTAATTTACCAAATAATCAAACTAATTTATCAACTACTAACTACCACTTACCAACTATTAGCTATCAGCTACCAGTTACCAACTATTAACTATTAGCTATCAGTTACCGATTATAAATCATCAGCTACCGACTACAAACTAGTTTTACCAAAAAGAGAGCCTTACTACTAGCATTATTCTAAAGAACACATAATGCAACTGTGTGGATTGACCAATTACATGTGCAAGTAGATGAATTCCCCTATCCACGTGTCAACCTAACCAATAGGGGTAAAAGACCTTCAACAATTAGACTGTGGATCAATGATACCGTGGATCATGCCATCCCTGGTTTAGGCATATGAAGACACCTCGAAAATCTGCCTTCTGGCGTCATCAACCAGAGAGGTTAATTTAAAACCTAGGTATCCCTACATTTCTTTGCATTACCAACCAATATTTAAGACTATGGGGCCACAGCCTGTAAACAGAAGGGAAACTCCTGCTGTAAGGAGTAGGGACCCTTATAGACAGATAGAGCCACACCTAGAGATTCCATTCTAACCATGTTGGGGGCAAGCTCTCAAATTAATGGCCTTAAATATCAGCGTGAGAAGCACGAGGTGTTCATATATCCGGGACCAATAAATGAATCCCACATCATACAATATTCTACTACTAGCTTGCTTGATTACATGGGGGCTTTTAGAGTGTGTTTGGCATAGAAGAGAAGTTGTGAAGAGAGAAAAAGAAAAGAGATAGCGTAAGAAGAGAGATAAAGATGAAAAATAAAGTAGATTTTAGATATTGTTTGGTTTAAGAGAAAGAAAATAGAAATAAAAAAGAGAGAAATGTTTCATATTTTTAAAAGTATTATAATATCCTTATAATAAATAATATTTTTAAACAAATTAATTTAACTCTTTTAATTTAAATTTAATAAATTAATTAATTATATCTTTTTTGAAAATAATTTTTTTGTCATGTTTAGTTTGTCAGTTCATTGTTACAGTCTTATTATACTATTCCTATACAATTATATTTTAAAGATTGTATTAAATTTGCTTCTACTTGCACAAATATCATATTTAATGTAGTTGATTTATTTGAAAATAAAAGGAGGGTATAAATGAAAGCATGAAAAGATCGTGCACATTCATTCCATTTCTTCTCCAAATAGAGAAGATTGCAAAAAGCAGTGGAACCCACATTTTTAAGAACTCTCTCACCTATTTCTTTGCCTACCAAACAAAAGAAATATAACATTTCTCATCAACTTCTTTCTTTGCTAACTCTCTCCTTACAACTTCTCTTAAACCAAACATACCCTTAGAGTAAATAAAGAATATGTATTGAGAAAAAACGTACAGGTAAGGGTGGACTGAAGTCAAGTAGGTCGCTTTGGAGAACACCAATGCTAACAGACAGAACCACATAATTGGCTTCATAAACACAACCATCCTCCGTGATCACCCTAACACCACTCCTTGAATGTTGCAATTCCCGGACGACCTGTATAATTTCATGCAAAAAATTGTTCGGCTCAAAAGTCTCCACATTATTACGGGTACTAGTACTATGGAGAAGAAGTTACTGCCTAGTAAAATGAACTCTTATGACAGGACATAAACAATTGCAGTCAAAGGGAGAAGTAAAAACAAAGCCCCAAACAATAATTATCTCATGAGAATCTGAGCAGTCAAGCCTTGAAATCAATCTGAATTCAAGGAAAGATCAGATGAATCTGAACTAGATGCCGATTTATTGGAGTTTTGTGAATAAAAAACATTTGTAGTAGTACAGACAAACTTTTTTGTTGTCTCGAAATTTAGCTGTTATAAGTAATTACTACTAGTACAAAATTACTACTAGTAGATATAATTTTCATATCAAAGGAAATGAAAGGTTAAGTAAGATACACTTATTTTTACTAAATAAATGAAAAGTAAATAATCTAGAATTATCAAGTTTGTCATTTTTTAATCTGGGTTCATTCTAACTTGTATCTTTAAAAACTCAAGTTAGGATATTAAAAATAGAAAATTTTAGTTGAATAAATCAATGTTTATAGTTTCATGAGAGTAGGAAATTTTAGTTGAATAAACCAACTATTTAGAATCTATGGAAATTTTGAAGTCTTTTTGCTCTAATCCAACTAGCCCCCCCACCTTTAAAGACAATCATGAGAGTAGGAAAAAAATTTAACATTTTATATTTAAGTCTACATAAAAAAAAAAACTAATTTTGTAATTTAATACTAAAAATATAAAACATATAAAATGAGGTAGCAAGATTTGCAAGAAAAACTCTTTTACATGATATAAAAAAATCTTTTGATATCGCTAGAAAAACAAAATTCCTTTAAGTAATCAAATATAAGGAAAATGAGAAACTATGACCCAACATTCATTGGTTTCTAATCTTCTAGCAGCTACTATGACCCAATATATAAGAATGGGAAACTGACAAGACTCATTTCTTCACTGTATTAAAAGCTGAGATCAAATGATACATCAGCTTAATTCATTGAAAATGGGTCAATTCATTGAAAATGGGTCAATTCAAATAGTGCACTGGTAATTGAAATCGGAACTTTGGGACCTACTACTCCCTAATTTATGAGATAGTATAAAAGTCCTTAAAATGGATTGAAATAGAAGACATTAATTGTGGGTCAAATTTTGCATGTAAGTGGATGTCCTCTAAATAACGATGCAATCTAAAACTGTAACCATTAAAAATATACAGCAGATGGTCAAACACTTCTGATGATCGACCTGCTTACTGCTTACTTAGTCTCAGTCTTGAAACGTTGAAATGGTTATAAAAATGATTGTGTATAATAGAAATTCTATACTATATGGAAGTGTCTAAAAAATGAGAAGAATTAGAGAATGTTGTCTTGATCATAACTTGAAATTATATTTTACACATTGACTTTTTAACAAAATAAGTCTGCCTGTTATTTAATCAATGAAATGTGGCATGGTCAAATATTTGTTTAAAGCTGACTTTATTCACATCTAATTTTTTATATTGATTTTATATATTTTTCCTTTTTCTCTTTGTGAGGTATGAGAAAATCATTCCTGAACATTTTTAAACTCACCTAAAAGAAATTGTCATTGTTTAAAAAAATAGTTTATGAATATTCATCTTCAGGCTTGAAAGTTATTGTTATGGCCACATGGGTTTAAAGACTTTAAATTTGTACTACATATAAATTGTTTTTATTTCCCTTCTTCAAAAAGCAAATGCTTTGGAAGTTGAGTAACAAAAGTAAGCAACTTCAGTATTTAAACTATTTTATTATATGGTTTAAAAGTCTTCTCAACTAGTACTAAACCTTAAAATAAAAGTTGTCAAAAACTTCACGAAAACATATAGGGGTTGACAAAAATATCCAATTCCAGTTTTACAAAAAAAAATACTTAAAACAGTTTTGAAATGTCATTATCTGAAGAAGTCCTAACACGGGACAATTGAGATGAAGTAACAGACAACGAAAGAAGATAACAAAATAGCAAAAGGGAAAAAACAGAAGGCGCAAATAAAAACAAAGAGAGATATTTTTTCACCTTAGCTAAATGGTGAAGCAAAAAGCCAACCCAACAGAGTACTGACACTTAAGCAGGGGGGCCAACAAAATATCCTTTTTTAACAAAGAAAAAAAATCAAAGTATTTATTACAGAATTGTAGTACCTTGTTGAGTTTGAGACGATCATCCAAGATTTTACCCTCTGATGTGAAGAGAAAATCTTCAGCCATTTTGTATAGTAAGTAATCGTACCCTCTTTCGTCCGCTACCAGAAACTCTCTATCCCCAAAATCTACATATGTAGATATTGGTTCCACTTCTGCATTAATTATTTCCCAGTTAACTAATCTCCAACTCTAGAATAGAGACAAAAAAATATGTACACATATTTAACTAGTAAACAAATCATATTCACAATCACAATGACTCCTAAAAAGTGATCCTACTATTTTTCATGACATAACATAACCCCTTTTCACTATCAACATTTACAGGCTGAGATAGTGATTTGTTAGAATTTTACAAACCCATAAACACAAATTTCAATTTTTTTCATTTTTGAGTAAATACCAAAATTATCATTAAAACGGTGGCCCTAATCTAGTCAATCAAATTATAGATATTCAAACATAATTTAAAATTATAAAATTTTAATCAAAACCGTTGTCTGTCCATCAGTATTTGTAGATTAGAATAACACTAATAAGTTGATAATAATCTTTAAAAATAATTGATAATAATAAAAATCATGACAGTGACAAAACAGTATCTGAAAATATTCACCATAATAAAAAATAGAAATTAAATTTGAACAACGACGGCTGATAAAAAAATAGAAATTAATTTATACCGCGACGACCAATAAAAAATAGAAATTAATTTATACCGCGACAACGGCAATCATTGTTAACACTCTTGTACAAACTGGAATAGCAAAAATCTTTATGCAACCTAGAGTGTCATTTAAAATGAATTTGAGAAGAAGTGAATAATGTAAAAATTTGGTAAGAGGTGCAACAACTAAAATCATCAATGTTTTGAAAACGGTCCACGACCACTAAAACGGACGCGATAAAATGATATCGATATATTAATAACGTTATTCACTCTTTTAAATTAAAAAATAAATTTTGATTAATTTGCAATCAATGTCTCGACATCTGTGTAGACAGAAATTGCGAAAAACAACAAGATTTTTTTAAAAACCATCCCAACTAGTATATTGAATTATTTTTCATAATCTGAGAACTAACAGTGATAATTAAACAACACCTACCTGCCATTTCGAAATCATGCAGAATGAAATCAATGGCTAATTCTACCGGCGTCTTCGGCGTCCTAAAAACAGTAACAGTAACCAAAAGAATGATTAACAACATAAAGAAACAAAAAAGAAAAAGCAAAAGAAAAAGAAAACATTTCAAAAAGGAAATAATTGAAGCTATGATTAACGATTACAGAGTCACAACAGAATCGCTATAACGGCTGAAAACGACGCGAAGAAAATTCGCACTTACGAAAGAGGAATCGTGTCATCGATGGATTCATCTTCTTCGTTCCTCAATTTCTGGATCGCTGAGTCAACCGCTTTTCTGTACGAGTCAGCAGCGATTCCACTCGGAATTAACTTTCCACTGCAATGTAACGTAACCACCACAAAAAAAAAACTCAGCACTTCAATATTTCAAAACAGAGCAACAAAAACAAACAATGAACAAAACGCCGTCGTTTAAACGTAAAATATATAACAAAAATAAAAAGAAAATTAAATAAAAACTGAAACAAATGAAAACGAATTTCTCAGTTATCGCTGCAACCACACAAAACTGAAAAGTAAAATCATAAAACAGAGCAACTAGCTAAACGACGTCGTTTCACCAAAAATAAGAATATATAAGAAACAGAGCAAAGAATGAAACCGCGTCGGCACTGCGAATTATAACCGTAAACGGTTATGGCAGCGAACGAAACGGCGTCGCCGGCACTATGAATGTGAATATTTTTGTGGACCTTTGATCATAGATGTTATAGCGAGCATTGCTATAATCGGAGAAGCATGTTCGAAGATTATGTTCAACGGCGAGTTCCCAAACAGGATTGGTTTCTCGGCCTCCGACGCCGGCGATCCATCCCGCACCGAGTTCCACCGACACGCCACCGAAACATTCCTTACGGATCCTGCCGCCGATTCGGTCTGAAGCTTCAAGGATTAGTATATCCTCTACGCCGTTCTCGGCCAATACTTTGGCAGCAGAAATACCTTCAAATCAGAAAAGAAGAAAACTGTGAAAGAAAGAAATAATTGAGAAACGCGTTGGTGAGAATTTAATTGAGAAAGAAAGAGTTGTGGTGGTTGTTGTGGAGAAATAAAGAGGCAGTTTGTGGAGTGGATATGTGAATGGTGAGGTGGCGGAACTCACCGGAGATTCCGGCGCCGATGATTATGACGGAGGAGCGAATGGAGGAATCCATGAATGTGCAGTACAGTGTGTTGTTTGAGTTGGGTTTATGATTTGTTTGACACAGAGCTCTATATTATAGCGGGAGTCGGTTTATATAGTTTTTTTTTTAGTTTTTTTTATTTTTTAATTATTATTATTATTATTATTATTATTATTATTATTATTATTATTATTATTATTATTATTATTATTATTATTATTATTATTATTATTATTATTATTATTATTATTATTATTATTATTATTATTATTATTATTAAAACATCTAGTTTAAGTTTGTTTTAAAAAATAAATGATCAAAATCAAAATTGCTGAGATAATTAGCGTTGAATTTAGTTGAAACGATCACAATTAAATTTTTATAATTATAATTGAAAAGAGATTAAAATTATTTGATTTAATTTCTGTAATTACAATTAAAAAAGAATTGAAATTCAATCGATAAAGAATTGAAATCACTTATTTCCGAATATAGATACTGAAAAAAAAATCTCTTTCTTTAATACTAATTATTAGAAAAGTTAAAAAATTATAAAATTTTTAAAATTTTATTTTTATTTTAATAAATTTAATAATTTTTTTTGTTTGTTTGTTTTCAAATATGCATATATTGTGGAACTTTAAATTCGGGTGTAATAAGGCATGCCAACGCGGGTTTAATTTTGGACGGTATGTGTGATGTTGTGGCATGAAGCACTTGATTAGCCAAAAACTATCACGAGGTCTTTTTCTTTTGATGTTTTTTTTTTCCGGAAGTTGTCAAATTTATAAACGAACATAGTGTTATAGTAGAGCATACGTGAGAACTTGCATTGATTATAGAGAGTCGTGAGATCCTTAGACACCTCAATAAGTAAAGTATTTGTAATAATGTTATATACCAAATTAGTAAAGGATTTTTGTATTCCTATGAATCGCGTAAAATCGATATAAATATTAAATAAATATTATATAATTATTGTTAAAAAATATATATGAATTAAGAGAAGGCTTATGTAGACTTGGGCCAAGAGCAGGCCCAATCCAGAACAGGATCCCCCAAGTTGTTGCTCCTGATGAAGGAGTTATGAATTAAGTCCACCTTTGTCTTTGAGAGGAGCGCATAACTCAACCGAGGATCTTTTATTGTGTCGATGAGAATCATCGTCGATACGCGTGAGTACTCAAGCAGAAGCCGGAATAGGCTTGACGGGGAACGTTCTAGTTGTTCCTCGACTCGCAGAGAGAGAAAAGCTGCAAGGTGTCGCCACGTGGTGTGACCTTTGGGATTGTAATGATGGCCTAAGGAGTAGTGGTCGTTATTACCTGAGCGCGTAGACGTCGAGGAGAAAGGCGATCGATTGGCTGCCCGATGCGACGCTTCGCATTCCACGCCAGCTCTATATATGGCGACTTAGGGCCCATTTTCCACATTTCAATCTTTTTGTTCACTTTTTCACGATCTCCACTCTCTCTATCTTCAAGTCTGTTTACTGCTTTTCTCCATCGTCACCGCTGTAAAGTCCGTCATGAATTCTTCCATCCATTATATTCAAGTAGGTGTTTTCCGTAGTAATCGTTGTTTATATTGGTTTTATTCATGATTATTTATAGAATTTTGCGACCGGGAAGGGGGTGGTTTGCTCGGGGTATTCATATATTTGTGCGTAATATTTGAGAATAAGCTCGTAATATTCATCTCTTCCCCGCGAAATTCATGAATTTTGTGCGGGGGATTGATATTCTCCCCGGTGAATTCATGAGTTTGTCCGTTAAAGTCATATGTTCCTTGCAGCATCGATAGATCTACCCGCTATGTTTATCTTTATCCCGAGTTAACCATTAGACATCCTTTTTGTTATTATCATCGTCATACAATCTTATGAGATTTGTATAAGTTTTACGCGTTGATCGTGGGTCGTGTATGTCCTCGCTGCTCGAGTCATCGCAGACCTACTCTGGATGTAGCCATCCCCTTTTCACTCGTGCTGCGATGGAGGGGTGGATGTGATTTTGCTATCGAATTCACTTGTTTCCTCTTCTTTACAGGTGAAATGGTCAATACTCCAGAGTCATCCGAGCATATAAGTGTCGAAGAGACAAGTACCGTCGAGGAAAGGCTCCATCTAGTCGACATGGTCGACGACCTCGCGCTGTCCTGGGTCGGGCCAGAACCTCGAGGGATAGCTTTAGTTTATAACTATAACAGAAAGGAAGCCTATACCGTCGTCGAGCATGCGGTGACATGGAAGGGTTTCGCTGTAACTTCAAGATCTTACGACTAACTCCCAAGGAAAGGATATGCATGGAGTTCGGGGAGGATCGCTTCCCGATGTATGAGGTCGTTTTTAAAGACTTGGGGCTTCATTTGCCCTTCAATGATTTTCAGATGGGTGTGCTCAACCATTTGAACCCGGCACCCTCTCAGGTACATCCTAATGTAATCGCCTTCCTACGGGATTTCGAAATCACTTGTCAGTTCTTGAGGATCGGGGCGACCATTCCTCTGTTTTTCAGGGTTTTTCACCTCCAACGGAAATATAGGGGTGGCAAACACAGTTGAGTTTCCTTGAAGCAGCCGAAGAGACTATTTAGGATGTACATGGATTTTGTCTGCGACTTCAAGGATAGGTGGTATGTCGTGCAACCATCTTCTCAGATGGTCGTGGATGTCGTGTTCGACCCAGTTTAAGTAGTGGATAAAGACGGGGAAGTGTGTCTCGACGAGGAGGGAAATCCGGAGATTGGGTGACTCTCGAAATTCCCTATCCACTGGTGCTCGGGTCACTACGAGCACAGTCCTGGCCATTACCACACCCCTCCTAGCAGTATGAGTGTTGAGGATGAAGAGTCTTATGGTATCCTCACTCGATTCGTTGACAGTTTCTTTCCCTCGAGGTGGGTTACGAGGGAAGGACATGACATTCTCGATGAAGACGGCGAACCGATGTTCGAGGCATGCCCGATCAATACTAATGCGCTTGTGGAATGTCAAACATACGGGAAGGCCGTGAACCTCCTAGGTTTCTGCTCGCGTGATTCATTACATTTTTACTACTTGAGTTTATTTGTTTAAGTCCTTCTAAGGAAACTAACTCGGGGATATCGTTTTTGTGTTCGCATGTAACATGGAGGAGCATCGCAAACGACTGTTGAAGCTCACTCAAGAAAACAAAAATCATAAGATGTTGGTGAAACCACACCAGCCCATACGCTTTTGCTCGGGCTCAGAGCCGGTCAGGGATGGCTCGAGTGGGTCATCGGGTGCTTGCGACAGCGTATAGCCCGCGGTTGTTCCGAGTCAGAAGAGAAGGTCAGAAGGTGGACCTGTAAGTGCAGTCGAGGAGGGGGTGACTGCCCGGGCTTTCAACCTTCCACCCTGTTTTGTAGAAAAGGATTTCTTCAAGGGTTTCCCTCTGACCGTGTCTGATGCTGAATTTGACATTATCAGACGCCTCGATGGTGAGGGTCGATAGAAGCATCTGGCTTCCGGGATGGTCAGTTTGATGAAGGTCGTGAAGATGGTTGTAGTCCTTGCGAGCAAAGGATCTAGATCCTCTGGACTAGTGAAGGAATTGGAGTCTGAGAGGGTGACTCTTCAGGCGAAGACACAGAAGATGAAAAGTTCCCTTGAGCGGAGCGAGGAGAAGTTTCGTGTGTAGGCCGATGAGTTGATGAGGGAGAAAGAAGAAACTGTCAAAGCTTATGAGGAAAAAGATTCTTTAATGCTTGAGAAAGAACGGTTGGAAAAGGAGGTGGCCGATTTGAAAGCTGAAATGTTTCCCGTGGACGGGGAGCCTGAAGGGGTCACAGACTTGCATTCTCGGGCAAATTTAATTACTCAGATCCAGATCCTTGAGTCGGATTGCATCGATGCTCTGACCAACGGCTTTGAGACTGCCATGACCCAATTGTCTGTGCTGAATCCCGGGCTTAACAATGAAGGTGCTGGGGTATTGTCCCAAGTCATTGACAGCCGCATGGTTCCCCCTCCTGATTCCCCCGAAGTGGAGGCCGAAGTGAGCATCCCTCGAAGTGACTAGTATTTTTTATATTTTGGCTATTTGTATTCAAGGTATGCGCGACTGTATTCATTGTAATTTTTAGACAACGTCGGCCTTCGTGGTCGACATTTATAAATTTTCTTACTTTGTTGTTATGCCTTTATGTTTTCGTTGATGTTTGCTAGCTATCTGTTTGTCGTTTCTTTTTGAATGTTTGCTAGTTGTTCGTACGTCATTGTTTTTAAATTATTTATTTTGTGAAAATTTGTATTTTCCATTAGTGGAGATGCATGCTGTAACACCTCAATTCTACCCGACATATATTATTAAATCAGAGTTATAAAACTTCCACCATTGAATCAGGATGCTACAAATTCAACTTAAAGCAACAACACCCATCAATGATACATAACACATTAAATCTGGATGAACCAACAACATCATAAATTCATCTTTTAAAACCATCAACTTTCATAACCACGCAGCGGAATCAAATATTCAATTTAAAGAATATAACATCTTTATCCAACTAAAACAACTTCAAATAACAGTTATTTAACGAACAACAACTTAAAGTTCAATCAAATGAAATAATAACAACAATAAAATAGCAAGCGTTCACCCCCCCCCCCCCCCCCCCCCCCGAGTGTTACGTATCAAAGCAATGACACTGACTCGAACTACTGAAGGTAAATCGCCTTCACTCTGTATTACCTGCACGTTACCAACATCGGGGTAACATTCAAACAGAAGGGGTGAGATATCGAAAAATATAATCGAATGTATGATAAATATTATATTAGAATTAGTCTATGCAGAATCACCACTTCACAACTTTAAACAACATCAATCACAACAAAACATCAATGAAACATAATAATTAATTCATAAACACGACGACTCAATATGCAACGTGAAATAGAACTTGTTATTATTCATATGCATATGGTACCAATATAGTAGAACTCCCATCTTAAAAACAGAGCAGAACTCCCAACTTAAAAATGGAGCAGAACTCCCATCTTAA